AAAAAAAAAAAAAAAAAAAAGAATAAGCTGGTGAGCTATTTAAATTTGCATATAAAGGTATTGTGAAGTCTAGCTATCCAGAGAGAGGAATCCGGGAGGTAGTTAGTTGTTATTGATAGTTTCCTCCCCTTCATATCTCACCTTAAATTGAGATACTTTTGTCTCCTTTAGCAGTGCAGTAGCCTGTATCAAAGGCATGCTTGAGCTCAGACGGTGGCACCTTTTTAGTGACTAGAAGCAGTTTTGACCAAGCTAACTGTTGGGTGTGGCGATTTCTTCTGCTCTCCAGGTGTCTACTAAACAATGATGCTCGAGGACTTAGCACATAAGACATGGCTCTTTAAACTCACAGTTGCTCTGAGTCATTGTATTCAGGAGACAGCTGTCACTGTGCCAGGCCTGGTTTTATGTTTACAATCCTTTCAATGTTAGCACCACACAATAAAATGTATTTTCCAGCTGGGGTGTGGATAAATGCTGTTGCAGAGTGAAAATGAGAAACTTGTAACCTAAATTTCCGGGAAGCCTGCGACTTTCCTGATTAGAAAAGGAATTGTACACATCATATCTTTTGCTGCAGTGGGAATGCATTCCAGTGTATTGGTTTCCCTAAATTCACAATGCAGTGTAAAATCTGGATCCCAGATGTTTTAGTGCTAGGTTATTAAACAACAGTATATGTTATGTAAGTGTTTCATAGTGTCACAGGTTTTTTTTTTTTTTTTCCTTTCTGTTGTGAAATTTTCTTAATTTTTGAATTTGTTAAACAAACATTGCAGGTTAATTTTTGAATTTATTAAACAAACATTGCAGGGACAGAATAAAATGATTTATTTAATCAGTAGTTATGTAGCGCCTACTATGTGCCTGGCACTATTCTATGCATTTTACAAACATGAACACCTTTAATCCTCAAGATAACCATGTGAAATAGGTATCAATACCATCTCCCTTTTATGGATGAGGTAATTTGAAGCACAGAGAGATCATATAGCTAGCATATGGCAGAGCTGGGGTTCCATCTCTGGCAGCCTGAACCCAGAATTTGGGGCACTGCTGTCTCACCAGTAAAATATAACCTGAGATTCCACCCTCCTAACCAATAAACTTTTTTCAAGTTGTCATATTCCTATCTTGTATTTGTCCTTAGGGAGAAATAATTTGACATAACTGCAATCAGAGTATAACTCAGAAAGTCGGTTCAACTCCCTTATTTTTCAGAAGAGGAAGTTAAGGTGGAGTTTGGTTAAGTTCAGGGCTGGGAGCCTTGGGGCAGAGTCCTGGAAACCTATTGGGCTAAGCCTTACTTCCTGATTGTGAGGAGGTTGGGATAGGGATCCTGGGAAAGTCTGGAGAGGCCAGGGTTTGTTTTGGGGAGGGCTGTATTTGCCAACCATGGGGGAAATGACCATTTTGGAGCTAACCTGCTCACTTAACTCCTAGGTTATGTCAGGGGTGCACAGAGCAGAAGCTTGTGGCCAACTGTGGGCCGTGGGAAGTCTTGCTGCTTAGGGCTCCAGATCCCAGATTCCTTCTCCAGTTGCTGGTGATGCTCGTGGCCCTGGGCTCCCCTCTGCATGAAGGGAGTAGTTTATTCTGTACTCAATCATGTTTTGAACTTTTTGGATCTCGAGTTGGGAACCTTTGGAAAGCCTCTGACGCACAAAAGAGAATCAGCCAAGAGCAATATGGAAATAAAAATAACTTCATTTAGTCTGTTCTTTTGTTGAGACACACACACACACACACACACACACACACACACACACACACACACACACACATCTAAGGGCATAAACTGACAAACTTTGTACTAAGAACAGGAAAATCAAAGTTCAGTATTCAACAGGGATTTTTTTTCAAAGTGAGCTTTTATAGACAGTACATCTGGATGAAGGAGAATAAGGAATAAACATGGGAAAAGAAAAGTGGTGGGCAGGGAGGGAGAAACAAATGTAGAGAGGAGGAAGCGAAAGAGGGGGCACAGAAGGACAGTGCTAAAACCTTGTCAGTTCCTACACAAGGCTGTGTTTTGGTGTGTTACCTCTTCATGCCCTTGGAGATGCCAGACGGAGTTGAAATTTATCTTTCCTTTGGTTTATCGTGAAGTGACTTCAATGTTGCTTAAAACCATTGCTGATCAACAGAGGATGGGGAGGAGATACCCGGGGATACTTTAGCACTTGCTTGGGATCTTCATACCGATCCAGTCTGTTTTTCTCTATAGCACTTTGGTATGCGTGGACTTTATATAGAGCATGATCACTAGGAATCACTAGGTTTGCAATCTTTTTCTTTATTTCCTGTGTTTCCCATGAGAAGGTAAGATCCTTGGGGCCCTAGACTATATATTTTTTTCATTTTTGTCTCTCCAGTGTCCATTATGGTGAACAATAGTTGTGAACCGAATGAAAAGGTGCATTTAAT